TTGTTCCATAACAAATACAATCATTCTAATATGGCTGCAATTTTTTTTTTCTCTAGATACTAGGATAGAATTTGCATGAAATTTTGTTACATTTAAAAAGTGGTTGTATATTACAGAACCTTTCAGAGCCTTTCAGCTGCTAGCAACATTAATGAATACAGGCTGAAACTCTGACATGATACACTGTGAATTTTCTTTCATATCTCCAGTTTCTAAAGAAAGATTTCTCAGAGAGGCACAAGAACTTCTCTTTATAGCCTGTGCTTTTTCTGGGATGCAGAAGGTAAAAGTCTCCAGGCTTGCTGTACAATCAAAACAATCTATTGTCTGCAATAGTTAGTAAATATTAGGACTATTAGTACTAACTACACTGTTGGTGTGTTAGTAGTGTGTTAGTAACAATTAAAAGAAAGTAAACAGGAATATATAAATACAAATATATACAGAGGGTTTTTTCTCCCTGAAGTTCAGGATGAAATATTTACTAAGAACTACATTGTCATGCATAAGTTGAAGAGGCTCACCAGCACCACTTCTCTGCCTTTGCCTGTGATAGAAGGGAGAGTTGCAAGACAGTTTCAGCTTCTAAAAATATCAGGGTTAGAAATTATACGGACCTGTGTTTTAGGATCTGGAACTTATCCAGTCCTTCATTCAGAATCAGAGTCTGTATCCCAGTAAAAATTTTAAAATAAACTTAAGTAAATCTTAAGAATCTAGGAAAAAACTTGCAATACATCAGTCAGAAATACAGGAAATATCAACATGCATTTTATCAGTGCTATACTCACATCAGATCTTTATGCAGGTCATTGCAATCTGATTCGTGTAACAGCAAAGATTTTCAAAGCTCTATCCTATTTGCACAATAGCAGAAACTACCCAACTCTTATGACAGTGTATAACATGCACCAATAGCACAGCTTGTAGGCCGATCTTATTCAGGCTTTATGTCATAAGGAAACTGACTATGTTGGAAGCTTACTTCTCTGCATTACTGAGAATGTGCATGCATCCAAATAAATATATAAAGCATTCTGCAAAATTTATGTACTCAAATTTTGCTTTTGATTTTACCCATGATTTTTCGATGGTTTTATAACCATTTAGAGCAGTGTACAACATTGGCATCTGAACTTGCATTTGCTAGGACTGTTCTACATCCATGAAACTATCAAGTTACATTTTCTTAGCTTTCATCAGATTAATTTTACAAGAATTCATCAAGCAATTACCTAATATTTGCAGAACCCATTTCATCTTAGTTTTCATCTAAAGGGACGTTATTACAAAAAAAAAAGTCACTATGAGCCTAGTCAAACACTCCAGTGAGATTGTGAATCTCCATCCTTACAAATGCACAAATTTACAGGACGAAGCTTGGGCAATTTTTTTAAGATGTTACACTGCTTTGAGTGGAAGATTGGATTAGGTGACTGATGGATCCCCTTTCCAATATAAAATTATTTTGTTCTATCAAACAGCTTTATCAATGGATGCATCATTTCATTTTTCATCACTCTATCTTTTAATTTATGATGACATCATGAGTGAGAGACATAAAAAAAGACACAGATGCATTTGTGCTACAGGTGGAACACATATACTCTTTTGTCTTCTATTCAATTCTCACTGCTTGTGAGAATTGTGTTCTGCCTCAACACAAAAAAAGGATTGTGGCTTTCCTCTGGTGAGTCCTAGCTTGTTTAGGATGCTGTATCATGATTGCCTGCCTCACCGATCCAGACTGGTTTATGAAATTATGTCTCCTGCTTCCAACTACAGAGCAAACTGGTTCAACAAAACCACTGTTACATTACTTTATTTTTCCTTGGTAAGCTTATCATGTGTAGCCCTGTCACACAAAGTAATTAATGGGTAGTCTTACCTTTTCCCAGAAAAACTGCAGTGACTTCTTTGGAAGAAGTCAATGATTTGGGTGACAGAAAAGAAACACCAAAATTACTTCACAGTTCCCATCACTACTCATCCCCATCTTCTACTCATTCTGAGCCAGTCCTGCCTACAATATGCTTTTTTCATGTGTTCCTATTTTGGAACAAGGAAATAGCTCAGTGAAATTGCCCAAGAGTCAGTGACTTGCCTTGGGCATCACATGAACCCAATAGCATCTGACTTGACGGGACAATCATTTATTTGTGGGATCAGAGAAATATGGAGAGAGACAGGGAATCTGGGAAAAGATGCTGAAAAATCAGAAGTCCTACTGTTGATGCTTGCAAAAGCAGAAATGCCACTGTTAATATCTGTGTTGTTTTCCTGGATATCCCATGCTTGAATGATGCACCATTGGTACTTTTTTGGCCAAAGGGGAAGAGGGACACACTCAAAAGTCCTGCAGTTCTGCTTCATGAGAAGCTGCGCAGATCAATAGCAACAGTTCTATTTTTCACATTATTAGATATTTAATGGAATTGTAATTAACAATAGCTTTCATATTCCACAAAATTAAATGTTACATCACAAAGTTGGCCACCACACTGACAGTTAGATCTGTCAAGTAAATGAGTTCTGAACTGAAATGCCAGTAAGCCAATTTAGATTGTGCACATGAACCAGGCTTTTCTGAGCTCTTTTGGAAATCTAATAATTCTTGGCTACTAGGAAGTAAAATGCAGCTTACTGAAGCTAAGCCTGCTCCTGCTTGCTGCTGTATTTTGTCTTCCAGATATCCAGAAACAGTGTAGTAGCTTGCAAATGTTTTTAACTGAAGGAAAAAATGTTATTACACAAATAGTGCTTAACTACATTTTTGTGTTAGGGTAGGAAGGATTTTCACTTACCTAGTTCTCATGAACTGTGTTCTATTTTCACTTTAGTGTGTATTATCCCTCTGTAATGTGCAGAAAATTCTTGACCTAAAACCACTTATGGCATTGAAGGATAAACATGTGGGCCTGTCTTCCTGTATTCATAAAAGTGAAGCCACAAAACTTAGATTATACTAAAAGTTTAACTTCTATAGTAAGATTAAAGAAGTTCACCTTTGTATTTCAGAGAACTATAAAATAGAGCTTATTTAGTGAGGGCAGGTCTTTTCGCCTTACCTTTTAGTCACCACCTGTCCTGCTTTTCTAAGGAAATAGCAAAATTTTAGGCTTCCCATCAACCACTCAGGGATTCAAGCGTTGTCATTTTAGAAGTTAGGGTTCAGCTTCAGAATTTATCTTTTTATCCCATCATTTCATTATCTTACTCCTCTGATATACAACACTTTCAACAGTAACTTGACCTTTCTCTTACTGGGAAAAGAGAAATATAATAGTTCCTGCTGTCCAGTTGAGTTTGATAAAGACATTAACTTCAGTCCCATAAAACTAAGCCAGCACTGTTACCAGCACTGCCTTGCAAAGGCTGATAAGAACTGACATGAGAAGACTTCACTTCTATTGTAATATGCACACAACTTGTCCAGTCTCAAACAGGAAGTAGAAAGTGAAGAGGTCATCTTGACTTGAAAGGGAATTATTTATGTGGTGATATGATTCTAAATTTTTGTGCTGAGTCAGTATTTTGTCTACAAATGGCCCTGGTATTTCAAAAACTCCTCTGCAGATAATTAAAATTTGGCTATCATCTTCAAAGACGCCCAAATTCAAAAAGCACATTGGGAAGCAGGAGGAAATATTCAAGTTCACATGGTAACCTTGTAGAGTTGAATGGGAAGAATCAGTATCAGAATACACAAGGTCTGCAATGAATTAAGGAAATCACTTTGTAGTAACTATTTTACTTAACTGGGATTAAGTACCAACCCCATTATGATTATGAGACACATTTCTCTATTCTACTACACAGGACAGCTTTCTGATATTATTAAACACAGCCTTACATTAGCTAGCTTGAATACTGGCAACAGTGAAAATCTGGCATTTATGAATGAAGACTATGTCCACATTCTTGGGACTACACAATAAAGTATTTATTTTTGACTGAAAATAAAACCTGAGTCCAATGAGATTTCAGTTCTCTGCTATCTGCTCTTTGTGGGAGCCATTAGAGGGAAGTCATGGAGGTAGACTCTCTCCTACACCTAAATCTTAGACACTGTTTGTTCTCAGAAATATGCTAACAGAGCTTACACTACTTCTGACGGGTTAAAGGAAAACAGGAAAAAACACAAGAAAAACAAAATACGTTTTATTAAAAATAATGCAATTGTGAATACTACTGTAATAAATTATTTTCACCTGTGTATGATTCCCCCCCCAAAAAGCTATGCACTTAGCAAAAAAAAAAAAAAGTTAATGTAATATAGCAATAACTTGTGAAATGAGATCCAGAAAATCCAGAAACAGGTTTCTTCAGCATTTCTACGTAATCACAAGTGCATGTATTTCATGTCCTAGAAGTAGGTAGATGTTCCTTTTTCCATTTACAAGAAAACAAAATGGCCATCTAAAACACAGGCTGTTCCTCCTAAATGTCCAAAGAATTGTGTTATCCCCAAATCGTAAATCAGAAGAGAAATGAGCAGTAGTGCCAGCTATATCATGAGGAAATTAAATGCCCAAAATGCTTTTCAAAGAAAGATACCAAAAAGTTTAGTATTACTTAATTTCCAAACCATAGTTGCCAAGAGTTTTAAATCATCTTTTTCAGGCTTAGCTGCAAGCATCTGGTATTTTAAGGACCGAAAATGCCCTGTATGTATGGCATCTTGTCTTGTTGCCCCATCATCTGTTTTGACGATCAAAGTATTGAAAAGATTCTTCAGAAGATGGAAAACAGTTTTATGTAGGAAATTGAGAGGTCAGGTGAAGGAAGAAAAAAGGATTCAGAAGATGGCCTATCAAGAACTAGCTATAAAATTAATGATGGTCATAGATGTAAAGTGCTTTACCTGAAAGATATTTTTAATTAAATATCTTTGAAAGACACATTTGCCTAAACTTGAGAAGGTAGAAACTTTGATATTTAAATAAATATCTCGATATCTAGTCACATATACAGAAGCCTGCATTCAATATTTTTTTATGCTATAGTAATTATTTTAACTTTATTACATTTTTTCCTGTGTTACAACAATATAGATGATTACCAACACACAATAAATACAAAAAATTAATATCCCCTTTCACAGATAAAACACAGAACATTTGACCTATCAAATCTTCACAACAGAGGATCTTCCCCTGCTCTCTCTAGGTCTTCTCAATTTGCATATCTGTAACAGGAAGAATTACATGAAAAAATTATCAAATTACAAAATGATGGAGGCACAGAACACTTCATAGCTTTGGACCCTTTTCCTAGAGCTTGGAGCTAACAGAAAATTTCCTTCATTGTCAAAATAGAAGATCTAAAGTGAAATTAATTAAAAGATCAAACAGGAAAAGAAGATTATCATGGGAGGAAATAAAGTGGTAGTTCAAATATACTAGTGGAAAGTGCTCTTCAGCAAATACAGTGAGATTGCTGTTCCTTAGGTCTCCCTTTCTTTTAAAACCCTTTAAAATTCTTTCAAATACATTTAGTGCTCCATTTGTCAGTATTCCCAGTGGCATATCCCCAGGCCCTAAGTCTTTGGCTTGGAGATCTATACCTGCGGAACCAGCAGGCTTACCTGTAAGTTTACTGTAGTAAAGTGTATCAGGGAGGGATTTGGGATGCAATTAATGCAAGTGATTTAGAAGCCAGCAAGAAAGTGAGAGGAAAAACCTCAATAATTTCACCCTCCTCTTCCACACCACAGAATGCTTCATATATTTGAGATATTTGATCATATATTTTCTTGCTTTGTTGAGACAGAATTGCACAGCTTGAGACCTGCTCAAGTGGCTAGGATGGGTTCTTTTCTCCTTCCTCATTGCCATCACCACCCTTACAGATGTGCATGAACAACTCTTTCAACAGCAAAAGTGCAAGCTGGAAAAAATGACTGGTTTGAGTTGTTATATATCTCCACATTTCCTTTGTATATCTTTGTATCTTTGTATATCTTTACTTTCTATTTTAAAAACTAGATTCATTATTTGATGTAACAAACAGTACCCAATGATTTATGATGGTGAAATTGTACGATACAGAATGGGAGGCTGTATTTCTCTTGAAGGCTCTGTCTGTTGAAAGGAGAGGCTAAATAAACCAGCCTTGAATCAAAGCTCCAGTGACTGGGGATATGCTACTAATTTTTCCTTTGTCATTTATACTTACATTTCAGCTGGCTGTCTTCAAAAGAAGCATCTCTGCAGTCATGTGTATCCTTATCTTTTGACAGCTCTATAAGTAAAGGACATACATATATGCAGCAGTGAGCATAGCTTTAACTTTTCCTATAGTTATTAATCTGTATTAAAACTGCCACCTCAGGCTACTCAGTGACTTAAATGCAGAGCAAGAGATGAGATTAACACCAAATGCCGTGTCTGTTTGGGTAGGCATTCTCAAGAGAGTTTTTCATAGGAAAAATGCCAATGGGCATCATGAACTAATTTTCACATGGCAATTTAAATTTTGGTGGTCTCCAAAAAACCATGCATCAAATTAAAAATAAATCAACCAGCAACCATCCTTAGAGGCAGCAAAAGGATTTTAATCTCTCCTGCTGTAAATATTATGTCTTTTCACTTCATTTCTGTCAGTACCACCTGTTGTGGTGGTACTGGCCTTCCACTGAGCTTTGTTCATAATAAATAGCATCAATATCACAACTCAAAAACTAAAGCTTCCCTGTGTTTCTTTCAATGGGGCCAAACTCTCTGTCACGAATGTTGTGACAGAGACCCTCAAATGCATGCTATGATACTGGAGAAAACAGAGGAATGTGCCAAGTTCAAATTACAGCACAAAGTCTGCACATCAGGATGCGATGCCATTCTGAGGTATTATGTTCCAGGGAGCCTGTCCCATCCTATTGCAGACTTTCCAAAACACATCTGTCCTTTTCTTGTGCATATCAGGAGTGTATCAGTTCCTGGAACAAGTATGCTTTTCTTTCCTATTTTCTTTTCAAAAGGATGACACAGTCATTAAAAAACACTCTTCTATTATTTGTAGTTGTTATGTAAATGAAGTGTAGAAAGCAAAATCAGAATTGAATTTAAATCTCCATTTGGTTGTCACCAGAACATAGTTTAATTCTCAAGCAATTATTTCCACAAGAATCACACTCTGCTAGGTTTATGTTGCATGTACATACTTGCTGTTGATGAACTCGCCACAGGTGTTCTGTTGCCTATATTTGCTCTAGCTGAAAGAAAAAAGACAAAATTTATTTTAAAAATTTTAATTAAAAAACCACCCAAAATACTTGCTTTAGATCTAATGAGAAACTTAAAATATTAGTGGGAGGGGCACACTTAGCATAGTGTAATCATTTGTTCTCAAAACACTAAATTTCTTCAAAAACTTAAAAATAAATTCTTCAGTGCACCCAGTCTGTTGGTTTCCTTTCCTTTTCTGGTTTCTAAGCTGGAACTCCATTGATACTATACACTAACAACACTGGAAAATATTTGTTCAAATGGTTTCCCACTACATCTTTTCATCCAGAATTTGAAGATATCAGAAAACAGGGAACAAAGAGAAGATCATATTGTCAGTGCTTTATGAGGGGGAATATGGCCACACTTTGAGAAGATTCTGTTCTGAAAAAATCACTTGTCTGGTAATCCAGGATATCTTATGGTTTAAGACAAAAACCTGTTGTCAGTAGTTTAGCTTTGGAATCAACTTGCAGTTTACCACACACACACCTGTATGTGTGTTTATATAGATGGATATGAAACCTAATGTGATATACGTTATCACATATACACACATAAACAATAAATATTAGTCAGGCAACCTAAGAAACTTCTGACCTTCACTGAAATCCCCCGTGGGATTCTTTTGAGCAGTCAAGGATTTTGCTGTCCCTTCTTCCACTTTCAAGTTCTTCTCCTATTTCGGTAGTGTTCTTAGGGCAAGTATATTCTTATACTTGCTGGGTTATCTACAGGCTTTCTGCAGCCTGTTAGAATCACCTTCAAGCCTATTAGGCTTATGAATACTTCTCAGGACGTTTCCGCAGCCACACCCCCCCTCCCCCACCCAACCTATGAAAGAAAAATAAATTAATAGTACTTCCTTCAGTTTAAGTAACAAGTTTAAACCTTTTTTTCTTTTTTATTTTGGGTGGTAACTATATTCTTTTCATACTCAGATAACTTAAAAATTATTTCTCCAAGTTTTTGTTCTGTTAGCTAGCAAGTGAAAACAAATTATTGCCAGTTCTTCAGCTTTTCAACATACTGGGATGCTGAAAACATCCAATATTAATTCATGAAGTGAACTGAGGAAGCTCAAAACTTAGAAAGGAAATTAATGTAATGGTGTGAAGACTTGAGTGAGAATATTCTCTTAAAAAAGCAGGTGCTTACAGTGAAATTTTTCAGAGAATGAAGAAAAAGAAGCACTAAAAAACCTCCAGTATCCTGTCTGTTACCAGCATTCTGGTCTCCAGACAAAAGGGAGGATACAGAAGAGGAATCTTCAAATTCCAGTAGGTAAAAAAAAAAAATGCTTTGATGTTGGAATAGGTCAGACACTAATCTTATTGCTATACATCCTTATCTATAAGAAAGATTAATAGACATGCATGGGGAAGTGGTTTGTGAGGGGCTGATAACCTGTTTCACTCTGTCAACTTGCTAGTATCTACTTAGGTCCAGCAAAAAAAGAGAAATAAACAATGTGGTAAAAAATTGTCTCATTCCACTCAGCAAGGATGAATTAACAGAGCAGATTGATAATAACTGAGATACTCTAAAACAAATAATTTGCATACCTTTTATTATGCAGAGCAGAAATAGAAGTCCTGATCCAACAAAAACAGTAGCAATGAGAGCTGCTCCAACAAAGCGTCTGCTCTCAGTCTGGAGAATGCCATCAGTTGAATCTTCAAGAAAAATGAGTGGGGGATAGGACATTACATAATTGCCTTAGATCTTCCCTTTGCCTTTCATTTTCACAGTATAATTTTTGTTATGAGCAGTTAAGACATGATAACATTATAGATTGTGTCTAAGGTCAGGTTCTAATGGTGCACTCAACACTTTTTTCAAATAAAGCGGAGGGTAGGAGGGAGATAGAACATTATATATGTCTTTGTTCTTTGCATTCTATGTGATAGTGCCTTTGATCTCATCAGAATTCTGCTTGTCAAAGCGCTACATCTGGTTCAGTTTCCCATCAGGATTACAGGAAAAAGCTAATTGATAAAGAGGACAGAGAGTTCCTTTCATCTGGTAAACCTCTCAATGCAATGGGTAAATGATCTCCTTGAATCCCTGATATTTTTCTTGTTAAAATCAAACTTGCCCGTTGAAAGAATGACTTGGCTTTCTCACTCCAACCTGCCTGTTTCAAAGTCTTGTCAGATCCAAAAAGTGTACCTACACACGTGTTTTTAAAACTAGGTGGTGAACTGGACCAGGGAAATTACCTAAGTAACAGTCTGACAAAGAGAAATACTATTTTTGAGATGGATCAGGTCTCCAGTGTGGTTGGAAACATATCGGGCTACAATGCAGAAAAGAAGAATCAAAAGCAAAAGCAGCAGAAGAACTGCCCAGTTCAAAGTTTAATTAGGAATGGTATTGGTCTTGTCCCTGTATGAGTTTTCCTTCAATTCAGACTTTATGAGGAAAAAAAAATCGTTGTACAATAAGTTAATTTTAAATATGCTCAAAGCAAAGGCTGTAGTGGCAGGAAAAGACCATATTGTTCAAGTTTATGTGACAGTAATCATCAACAAAATAGAATATTCTTGGAAGATCTGTTGAATTTATATGTGAGGATTTAATTTCCAGGTGCTGAGCTGCATGTCTTCCAAATAATGGAACTTTTTTAAAATTTAGATTCTATTTCCACATACATGCAGGTCACACACAATTCCTGTCTTTAAATTCTGACCACACATGCAAGATGAACATGTTAGTATGGTGAAAGTATAAATGAATAACAAAACTTAATGATACAGTTACTTCTTTAAAGCCTCTTCAAAATTAGGAAAGAGAAACAAATCATGGCTGATTCAACTGGGACAAAATTACATTAGCACCTTGAAGTGTACTACCATAAATGAAATTTAGAAGTGTTACCTGCTATGTGTAAAATGGCAGATGTATTTTCTTGCAGCTCTTTATTCCAGAATATGCAGTAAAAAATCTCATCAATTCCACTTTTGATTGTAAGGGTGCTTGTCACACGGTACAACTGGTCACTTCCAGTTTCAAATCTTGTGTTTGCCTTATCAGTCAAATCCTCATAGTTTCTGTTTTGCCATATCACTTCAGCTTCTGGGTATCCCTCTGACTGACATGTCAACCTCCATTCATTGTATCCTGTGCTCACCACTCCTTGGTGTATAATTCTGTAAGGAGCTAAACAATTGGGGAAAAAAAAAAAATCATCAGCTACAGGAAACTAGAACAACAGTCTGTATAAAAGGCAAGACACCTTTTTTCCTAGCCCCCAGGGTAAAGTTTCAGCTTGGATTTTGACAGGAAAAGTAAGTAACACTATTGTGGCAGTAACTGAAGGTACAGGATTTATTACAACTTTGATGTGGTTTAGAAAGCTCAGTAGGTGTTATGCTCTTTGTACTGTCTACATGATTTTGCAGCCCTATTCCTTACATGTCTTTGGGGGCTTAAAGGACAGAACACAGATTCAGCCGTGCAGTGCACAGACAGAAGTGCCAAGTTATACAGCTGCACAAGCACAATCAGACACCTCCTGTCTCTGATGAGGTTTCTTTAACTGCTAATCCAGGTATGTCTTACTTCAGGATCTCCTCTGAAATCTTTTAAGAACATCAGAGTATTGAACCTCTGGTAGTAGCACACGCACCCACAACTTTCAGATGGATTGTCTTGTAGTCAGCTCCCCCATAGACAATAACACAGCGGTAAATGCCTGCATCTCTGAGCTTCACATCAGTGATCTGAAGGAGAGACTGTCCCAAGTTCAGATTCTCTTTCAACAATTTTATTCTTCCCTTAAAGTCACTGTGCTGGTTTTTGAAGTCTTCCTCTCCTTTGTGAAGTACATAAACCTGCTTCAACTCATCTTTCTTTTCCCAGCTGACACTTAAATCTCTAAAATCTAATTTTCCATTCACTGGAAATGTGCATTCCATGGTCACATTGTTCCCATGTTCCACAGTGCAGAGTGACTGGGGAGCTTCAACAGTGAATAAAGCTGAAAAACAAAATTTGGAAGAAAACTCAGTTTTACAATAATACGCCTAAATCTTTGAAATCCTCTCTTACCATATCCATAGGAAATTTTAAGGACCAAAGTACCTGCAATGTTCTGAAAAGTTAAACATTTTGGTATGTGTGACAAAACACAAGACCTATGCTGTATGCACACACAGCAGACATTTATATGTGCAGACACCTGCTTTGTGCACACACGCAGTGTGATGCTGTACTAAAACCAGTAAACTGTATATGCAAAGCCCCTCAGCTGTTTGAGAACACTGCCATGGTAACACACATTTGTGCCTCCAACGGGAATGTTCTGTTTCTATAAATGCCAATTGTTTTTACTCAAAATATTAAAGATTATACAATTCCTAGGTTTGGTAGAGCCTAGAAAACCTTTTTTGTAATGCCAATGGTACCTTGTTTGAAATGGTGCCTCTGCTGGAACACTGACAGGGATTTTAACCTGGCCTCATAAAAATACATGCATTCAGCTTAACGTAAAACCATGCTTAGACCTTCTTACTTAAAACACAGAGGAAAAAACCTCAAATGGCAGCAGCTGAAGGAAAACTGGAGAAATTAACATTTCTGTGCTTATATATTGAAGGAAAACATACTAAAGCAATTCTACTGCTTTTTAAAACTTGACTTCTTACCATTTAGGAAATGCCAGTAGAATAAAAATATATACAAAAACAAAGGCCTTCCCATGATGTAGATTGAACCTAAAATGATAAGATAATAGATAAGTATAAATACATACTCATTTTCTGATTTGCACTGTCAAATACACTTTATAGTCAGTCCACACAAAGATCTGGACAGAAGACACTCAATTCCATCCTATTTAAAAACAGGATGAAACTGCACCCAGTGGATAATCAGGCATCTTTTCTTCCTGCATGGGTGGGTCCATGTTTATTTGCTTTAAATGTTCCTTCTTGCCTATGGCTAAATAGATGTTTTATGATCATATGTTGATTAGTAAATAAGTACTCACAAATACCCGATTGTTCTGCTAACTGTAGTGGGGAATGTTGCTCCTAATGGGAGAATGGAAGAATTTTCTATACTCAGTGCAGGGAATAGAACTTGGTTCTTCCCCACCTGTTTGCTTTACTTTAACATACTGTGAATTCACCCTGCTTTTTTACTGTGGTCCCACAGTACGTATCAGAAGGCTCACAAAGTTACATATATTGTGAAAAAAATTCATGCAGTAGTTCATTTCATAACATGTATTTATGCAATAACAGCTATTTATTAACTATTCACACAACAGCGCCTTTGTAAAACAGTGACAAAGCCAGTCAATCTACAAGCAGAATCTATTGCCTTGAATTTCTGCTGCTTTAACTCTGAATACACAATCCAGAGTTAATAATACTCTGAATACTCATTTCACTTTTCTGTCAGAAGTTTTTCCACTCATTACTGACATAGGTTTTCTAGTCCTACACAACATTTTAAAGTGCTTATTAAAATCAACTCATACATTTAATCTTCACACACCCACTGTTTTTGGTAAATCTGTGTTTCAAGTCAGAACAATAGTGATATCCAGTAATGCCATCTTTTTTCAAATTACTGTTAAGAAAAATTCAAACACCATAACGGATATCTTTCATGAATACAGAAAATGATAGGGTTTTTTTTTCTAAATAAAGTCCTAATTTTGGATACCCAAACATCCACAAAAATACGGAAGGATTGCCTTTAGCTGTTTCCCAGTCATAGTTTCAGAATCTGTATTAAAAATAAGACAACTGTAATACCCATGACACTTCCCAACTGACAAAATTGTACCTTGACTGTCATTCTTCACCATTTTTATAAGAAGTTTCATCCTTCTTTCTCTGATCATCATTTTTAAGATAGTGAGAAAACAATATTGTCCTGAATTCATAAGACACATGTGCCTTTACTTTGCTGTGGCTTAAGGGAACTGGACTCCTTATAACTGTTTGATTCAAGCTACTTCTTTTCCTCATATTGCAGCTGCCTGATCTCAATAGCTGATTTGCAGCAGGCAATGTATATGGAGCTGAGAAAGGAAGGCAATCTAATACATCATTGACAATGTAAGCATGGTCTGAAAACAGCTGCAGAAAAAATATAAAGAAGATTCTTAAGGTGCAAGAAATGATTAATTGATAAATCCTCATTTAATTTATGATAGGCTTCATAAAGTGGTTAGGTACCAGACTTATTCTGATATATATATATATATTCTGGTTCACTGGCGGGAGTAACTATGACTCTCTTAGCATCTCAGGTTTCGTATGTTGCTAGCTGGGCTCAGCTGCAGAAGTCACGCCTCCATGTGGCCCCGCCGGATAGCCGTAACCGGTGAACCAAGTTGACTCTCTGCCCTGGTGAAATGGAGAGTGGGGAATAGCCATCCTGACCCCTCCCCTAGCATGCACGATGTACAGGGTAACGTTTGCGGTAACGTTATCCTCGTCTGCTGGCTAAGAGCAAACATCTTCACAGTCGGAATCGTTGGTCATACCATCGACCCCAAGCCCTTCCTCCCAACAGTGGTGGTGACGCTGGGTAGGTTAGGGTGGTTCCACCAGGGACCAGGGACGCTGTTTCACACCAGGGCCAGTTTGTGGGCAAGGAATTGATCCAGCAGCTCTTGCTTTACAGACAACTGTGCAGCAGGGCATAACCCCATTCCGTGTACCCATCCATTTAACCCAACTCTAAAGTTGGTAGGATGGGAGTTAACCGGTGATCCCAGGACTGCCACATTCCAAGTCGCACGCACCAGGGGCATCGAGCGGTGGTGTCCTGGGCAAAGCCAGGCCTCTGGGGGACTGTACGCCAGCAGAGGTGAGAAGGGGACACATTTTTGCTGTACAGGGCCACGTCACTGGTTGTGTGCAGTTGTCCTGGGCTTGAGTTCTTGTAAGATCCTTATCCTTTTGGTGCAAATCTACTGATTTGCGACCACAGTGGACGGGCCACCGTCACTTAACCCGGAAAAGGTGCACACACTTTACCATGCGTGTGTTCGATAAATAGCCACAAGTGATGTGCTTGAAAGCACTAGAAAATTGCAGCCCAATCCTATGGGTCCCCAAGAGCTTTTCTGAACACATACGCATTGGAATGCCTCCATCATGATTCCTCTGCTTGAGTAACGAGCACTCCAGACCATCAACTAAGCTCCAAAGTAAAGCTTCTCAAACAATATAGAGATACACCAACCTCACAAATGTGCCATAATAACAAAAAAAAAAAAAAAAATCACCCTTATTATGGGGACAAGCCTGCCCCTGAGTGGGTATTGTGTACTACCCATGTCAGAATGACCAGAGCACACTCTGAATACCTTTTCTGAGCACACTCAAAATACCTTTCTTTTTTTTTTTAAGTACAGACTATAGACTGCTCAGTGCAAAGCAGACTGCCTGAACTAGTACACTACCTGAAGCAAACAGTATGTGCATTATAGTCAGGATACTGAAAGATACCCATACTCCTGCCTGCAACCCCTATCTAACTTTTTGACAATAAAACTGAATGTTGGCAGGATCTCCAAGAGAGGTGCTCTGATTAACTCCTGGAAGACAGATGACAAGTTAGCTTTTATAGTCCAAAAACCTATGTTTATGTCCTGCAATTGCTGAGATTTGTCAGCATGCTTTCTCCCACTGTAGAAGAAAACAAGCTTTACAGTACAAAAAGAAGTATGACTATTACTTACAATTTCTTCAAGACTGAGAAAGTTTGCTGCTGTATTCAATTTTTCACTTTCAGAGGGAAAAAAATGTAGGTCCAGGTCAAATCCAGGTGCGCATGTGAAAAGAAAACCACAGCAATAACCATTATAGAACCTTCTCCTGTTTCACCCTGAGCAGAAGGATCCTTTGGATCAGTTTGAGACCTTGATGTCAAAGTCCTTTATGAAAGTTATCTGCTTGCTGTTTTTCTTATAGAACCTAATACAGTGTCCTTTTTGTCCTCCTGCTAGCTTCCAACATCTGTGGCAAATAGTTTTTTAAAAGCAAAATATATTCACTCTGCAAGTTGCTCCTCAGTACTGCTGCTGCATGTTTCTGCCACAATCAAATAAAAAAGACAGGAAAACCAGAACTATTTGTCAAAAGACTTCATGTGACAGCTTAAATGTTGATGTAACTACACCTACTTCTTTAGGAAACTTCCCCATTATTGGAAAGTTCCCCAGCAGGGAAAATTCTGTATTGCCAACAGTGGCTCACTGTAACCAAAGACATAAATGTTGAAAAAATTAGAACATAAATTGACATAGGCATTTTAAGAAACATGTAATTCAGTCAAAGCTGTGTCTGAGTACCAGTCCTTGGAACAACAATTCCAAGTGACTATCCACAAAGTCAGGATCCCTAAGTAATTAATCTCAAGAAGTGCCAAACAGCTGCTAACAACTAGAACTTTCTACACAACTTTCTCATTTCTGTAAAGGTCATAGGAATAGGAATAATGTAGGAATAACAGGAAAAGCATTTCCTACCCTCCTCTTGTAAAGACAGACACTCTCTTCCCAAGATTTGGACACAATTAAAGCCCCTTGCCTTGCCACTATGTAGTGAAAGAAGAGTTCTTAATCTTATGGACTACATTGGCAAAAAATAGAGAGCACTAGCTTTTTAATTTTCTTGTTTCTAGAATTCATTTAAGAACACAGAACCTCTCCCCTCGCCCCAAGTGTTAGAAGCAAAAGGATGTACTCACATAAACTTGTAGACTGTAGTGGGAGAACCAAGTCAACAGCACAAAATACAACTGTAAACATATGTTTCAATGCAAATTCATTCTCTTAAGTTGTCTTCACATACCTCAGAAAAGGGTTGAAATTCTGAGAAGAGTTAAAATATTGTGAAATGACCACTGCGAAAATTTTCAGTGTTTTCTTCTTTCCACTTGACAGCTTGCTCACAGTATCTGTCATGGAAGAAAAACCACATAATGTACAAAACTGATTAAGGTTAGTGTTTTTACTTGATGTGTGAGATGAATGTGGAAACAGTGGTATATAAAATAGCTGAATGTAACATTTGGGTTGTAACAACCTGAAACTACCTTAGGAGATTGAGGGGGTGGCTATCCACAGCAGGTGAGATAGATAAATGTTAATTTCCACACTGGGTTTTTTCCTACTCTTACAAATAGACTAAATTATATTGTCTCAGTAAAGGGAAAAAAAAAAAAAAAAAAAAAAAAAAAGGTGTAAGAGAAAGAAACTGAAACCCATTTATGTGAGATCAGAGAAGCTGCTAGTGTAGTGACCTTTCAATGCCAGGAAATTAGTTGTCGCTTTTTCATTGCTTACCTCGAGGTCACATGGCTGCATTTTCCATGTGAATGTGTAGCAGCAAATAAAAGACCAGGACAGATGGGGTTCGTTTTGTTGAGTCTCTTTTTGTTCTTATTGCTTAATTTTGTTGTATATACACTTATACTCCTATATATATACACAATACACATCTACATGCACACAAGCACATTTTACTGCAGAATTCTACACTGTGGTGGTGGGGTTTGAGTTTTGGGTTTTTTCCACCTGTTTTGCAACAAACTTCCCAGACACCTATCTCAGTCCTGCCTGTCACCGGGCATTCCCAAGGACAGCAAATGCCTTTGCTGAGGGCGCACCCGGGCAGGCTCGGGTGGTCGCCTGGGGGCGGGATGAGATCGGTGCAGCACCGGGAGGGGCTGCGGCTGCCGGCAGCCCCGCGCCCCGCAGAGCTGCGGTCCGGCTCCTCTCGACCCGGGGCTTCCTCCGCGGCCGCCGAGGCTGTGGGGAGCGCAGCATCTCCCGCCCCACCTCAGCCCGGCTTCTGTCGGACAGGTGTGTTACCTCCCGGCCCCGACCCCCGGCTGCTGGTGTGCCGGCCGTGGCAATGCCGGGAACTGCTCCCGGCCGCAGCCCTTCGCGGAAACCCGTCCCGAAAACCCCCAGCGCCGTGCTCCTAAGCCTTACTTTTCCCAACGCCTCAGCCGTGGCGGAGCAGGGAGCTCTCCAAGCAGCTTGTCTGTTCCTGAAAGTCGAGAGCTGTAGGAAACAAAACCAAAAGCGGCATCAGTACCAACACTCCTACCCTATCCTGCTTCCCTTACCTTTCCTTATCCTTTCGTTTTTAACATGGTGAGATCACTTTATTCACTTGCTAAACGGGTAGCTTACATGTTTGATATGTACACATGGGGAGGATGACTGGTGTCAAAGGAAATTGACACAGTATTCAGGATACTGTGAGTATCCAGTATCCAGGATATCCGTGAGTTCCAGGAGCTGTGTCCAGAGACAAAGAAGCAATTTATTGAAATAGCTTTGTTTCCTTCCACTAAAGGAGCCTTCCAGGAGACGAACCTCCAATTTAATTACGTGATAATACAATCTGGAAATACAATGCTGTGTATAGTTTCTTTGCTGCAATAATATTTCTTATGAAACATAATGCTAACAAGCTCTCAGCCACAACTCTTCCGCAAAAAGGTAACCCTGAAATAAGAATGTTACTCAGGATATTACCAAAGAACCAAAGAACCATTGAGAGAATGGTTTACTAATGAGTATATTTACAGGGTGAAATATAAATAATGTACAAAATTGTAATGCATGGTAGTATACACATCTCAGAGATGTGTACTGAAGGAAAGGAAGGACAGCCTATGCTCTCTATGCCCTAAGTATCAGGTACTGCCACCTGCAGTTTGTAGTTAATGGTTTTGTGGGCCATAAGCCATCAGGTGGCTGAGAAACCACAGAAATCCCTACCTGGAAGCCATTGGGTTTTCTGTTGATACAGCACATTGATATGGAGATGTTGAACAACAATCAGTGTAATCATGTTCAAATCTTCCAAAACTCTATGAATCCCTCTGAAAGATGGCTATAGATATTAGGTTACGCAATTAAAAACTCCTCTGCACACCCCTCACACACACCTCCAGAGAGACAATGACTGCTACCCCTGCAGCTTCCAGGCCCTTCCCAGGGGATATCAGCCCAACAGAGACAAATCTCCACAAGCACAGAGGAGTAACAGAGGAAGCTCATATTTTAATAAGCTTCAAATAGTTTAGCAATAAACATGACATTTGTAAATGGCAAATTTACTGACGCAGCTGTGTGGTGTACGTGAATTACAAAACAGTCACAAAACCAGACAAAATAGTCATAAACCAAGCTGTGAAGTTTCTTTCCAGTAAGAACAAAAAATGACTGCAAAAACATTCCCAGAATGAAGTGGAAGCTTCTAGTTTATGATAAATGCTTTAAGGTAACTAAGAAGACCACATAACATAGGGACTCCCCCTACAGCAAACAAAAAATGCTCTGTGAAAGCTACAGGTTTATCTTAGCTCTCTGTAGTTGCTAAGATTTTTCTTCACACAATTCCTATTTTCAGAAGTCAAATAATAAAAGAAAAAAGTAGGTAAAAATCTCCAAGGTTGAAATCATCTTTCTTCATTAATGTAAAGTATTAGAAATCTGGATTGTTTTGCTGGACATTCATTCCTAAAATCTAAAAAACCAACCAAACAAAAAAAGGTTATTGTCACAAGTGAAATAATTAGTTATTATGGGGTTAAAATGTCTTATAATTATCTATGTTTACAGTCAGTACACTTATAGTATACTTAAGTAAATATACTATGGTAAAACAAGGAAATTGGCTTCCTAAATACTACAAATTCAGGACATTGATCTGTCTTTCTTTCAAACTATTTTGATTGATAGATTTTGGAATTTAATTTTGTAGATAATCTTTAGAGTTCAATGAAATCAATCAGGCAGACTGATACAGATATAATCTACTTTCCAGATACTAGTTCTACAGGTTATCTCTAGCATATGTTTCCTTCTCAGTCTGGATTTTATAATTGAAGAGAATAATAAATTGTTTAACATCCAAATAATTTTGGTAAAATTCAAACTGATGCATTCAAGTGCACTATATATAAAGATAAGAGGAAAATGCTTGCTTTCTTTCAAATATTTCTTCTGGTTCTAGTTCTATGTTCCTCTTTCTTCCTCATCATGTAAAAAACCACAAATAATTACCCAAAACATATCTGCATTGGCATAAATTGTAACTATTTCCATTTTCAGTTAACTCAGGGGTTTTTTTGTTAGGTATCACAATTCCAACATTTCCAAAGTTCAATTATTTTTAGACCAGCTGTTTGTGGAGAAAATACATCTTATAGTTTAATTAGTTTTAAAAATATGACAAGAACAAAGGAGACATGACTGCCTGTCTAATGACTGCCAGATTTGTGTTACTATGAAACGTCTTTATGACTGTGCATGGGTCTTTTGTAATAGCAGCAATATCTGTAGCTTACTGGAGTAGGGAAACACTGCCTGCCTTCAAAAATGCTGACAATCTAACAACACCATGCAATACATGATGCTGTCTGATTTTTTTTCTGTGGTCTCCATACCATGACCTGACATGGGAATTGGAACAGGAGAGGCTATGTCCCCCAGTGTGGTGCCATGAATATTGACAATATCAGTGAAATCACATAATTCAGCACATTCCTGGAACTGCAAGTGGTACCAACAAAGAGAGGCAAGAGCTGCAGCCCCTGCTGCAGGTTGGGCTCCTGTCTGTGTTTTCACTCTGATATAGCTCTATCCAGCCTCCCTTCCACAGGCGTGAATCACAGTAGCTTCTTCTGCCCTATGGAAACTGGCCTTCATTTTCTATGCTACTTCTTAAATCCTAGATCCTACTTCAGAAACCAGTGCTGTTTCCCTAGCAATAAGTCACAGTTCTGCCCCTCTCTCCCTTATCTGTTCCTGTATTACTGAAATCTGCTGCCCCATCGTGGTAAGCCCTCCACAGAAAGCAAGTCTTTGCACAGAGGTCTGCCAGAGCTGCAGTACAGAGATCTAGTGCACTCTGAAACCTGTCTCCTCAAGAAAAGATTTGGACAGAACAAAATGGTTTGCTTGGTTGCAAGGGGCTCAGTGGCTGAAGATGGATGTATCTTTGGTAACCTGCTTTGAAAGAATATTATATTCTCACAAATTTATCAGTGGGACACCCATCAATCACAATTCCCTCTGATGAAGTCTAGTTAAATACCTGTCAGTGGCTGCAAATGCAGTAGTGCCATCTTGCGTGCAGCTGGAGTATACCAAGAAATTTCTCTCCTGGATCTCTACTGCATCAGAGATCCGAGGGAGAAATTAAATACTTGCTAAATACTTGAAAAAGTCACAGATATTTTCAAATTATCACTGAAATAGCTCAAATTCTTGGGAGTTATTTACTTCAAGTTCTTTACTTCAAGTAAAAATGCTAAACGAGTTTCCATAACAGAAAATTAAGTATTTTTTTCTTACTTTTCTCTCATTTTTGCTCTACCAATAATAAAAAAAAAAAAAGGGAGGGAGGAAAAATGGGAGGACAGCTGTCTTCTCAGTATTTTTTTAAACAAAGCTATTTGAAAAATTCCTGAATTAAAAAATAAGTCTTGGCAAAACCAACATTTTCAAGTCAAAGTGTCAGCAGATTGAATGAGCAGACTGTTTCTGAAAAAAACATGAATTCTTGTGGTAAGACAAGATGTCAAATTGCATTTGCAATTATGAGGTGGTGTTTGAAGTGCTGTGTATCCTCATAGACTCAAAACCAAAAAAAAAACAAAAACAAACCTGGAAAACTGAGATACTCTTTAGTGCTAAAAGAATTACGGATATTAGAGCGTGGTGCTAATATAACCAGGCCTGTAGGTTTGATCCCCATATGGGCCATTCACTTAAGAGTCGGACATAATTGACCCTTGTGGGTTTCTTCCAACTCAGAATATTCTGTGATTCTGTAATTCTAGCACTTTTTTTTTTTTTTTTATCATTCTTAAAGGCCAACTGACAGAGCATAATTTCTGACTCAATATTTTTAAGTATGAAAATTTAGCTTCTTTGGATTTCAAAGCCAGCCTGTAATTATGGATGATGATGCCATGAAAACGTTCTGACACATAGGCCGAGCAAGATAAGAAGCATTAAGCGACAAAGGCATTTTTAATTCTTTTCCTTGTTGATTTACATGTACTGCCTAGATACATCACACCCGAGTGGTGAGCCTACCAGGGCCCGTGTGTCTATTCGTAGGGGATTCTTCAAATTTCTTGGGACAGTTTGTACGGCCGAAAGGGAAGAGGGAAGAGGGGGCGGGACGCAGGACATGCTCCTCCCGGGGGCGGCTCTCCTCACCGCTTCACCAGGTTCTCCCGGCTCGCTGGCGTCCCCCGTGTCGTGTCTGCTCCCCTGCAGGGCGCGATGGGGTTCGTCCTCTCCAAGGCCATGAACGACAGCCTGAAAGGTCAGCAGGAGTTTATGCGGCTCCAGGTAATGGAGAGGCTGGCGGCGGTGCGGGAAGCACTCCCACGGCTCGCTGCCCGCCCGGGCCCGGGGCTGGGCTGGCAGCTTCGCCTGCTGAGCTTTGCTCTCTTGCCAGAGTTAAAGGTGCTCCATTTGCGCGCTCCGCCACTTCCCGTGTGCTGCAGGTTCGGGTGTGTAAAGCACCAGTTCTCCGTGTCGAAGGACTTCCTCAACAGTCTGCCTTAATAAACTGTAAAAGTGGAAACTTTCATTAAAATAGCCAGACCCTAAAAACAGTTTTGTAAATATACTTTGGAAAGTACATTTATGCTCAAGTTGGGCTGTGTTACTGCGCTGTAACTCTGCAGTGTTAAGAAACATGCATATATTAAAGCAAATCAGTTATAGTGGAGCTGCTGAAACATGGATCTTATACTCTTAAAATACATGAGTTAAATGTTTCAACTCATCCACTATAAAAAAAAAAATCTTTAAAACAATCCTTTCTTTAAGTTCAGCCAGATAACTATAACTATTCATTGTTCTAGAAACCTCAGACTAGGGCATGGGATGTTTTATTCCCTCTCATAAAATAAGAAAACGGCAGCAGAGGAAAAAAGAAAACAGTTTGATTAAGGTTCAGAAAGTTGAGCAGACCAACAGTATAGCACTAGCTTTCTGATTTGTTGTTAAGTATCTTGTAACTTACTCATAATATTTATATACTAGGTGCTGGAATGAAATCTGAAGGATTTAGCTGGTTTGTTTCTTTAGTTTTGCAATTAAATTGAACATAGGTTAAATTTTTAGAATGTTTAGTGATGGATGGACTTCCAATTTACTAAATTGCCAGTAGGTGGCATATTCTAGTTTACAAAGCAGTGTGTAGATCGTAGGTTTTGTATGATCACAAGTAAACTACACTCTGAAGGTGACCTTTGAAATGTGACTAAGAAGAAGAAAGATAGCATAAGGAAAGATGATATAATAAAACAGTGGATAACTCATAAATATTCAAAGAAAAAGAAAAGCAGCCTTTTGCACGGCTTTTAGACATTGTTTTCTGTCTGTGCTGTGTTACGTGTTTCTTAGATGCAACCACAAGTTTTGTGTACAAATTTATTTTTTTTTCTTCCCTCCTGCACAGAGATGTTCCTCCCATCCCCAAGGTTTTGGAAATCCAAATAACAGGAAGGTTTTCAGTTTGACAGATTGATAGGGAAATTCAAGTGGAAGCTTTCTTCTCTGTTCGGCAAACAGAGTTGAGGAAAGAGCTTGAATTCCAGCTAACATTTGTAGGTAGCTGCAGACTTCGAGTGCCAGTCTTTGCCTTGGCTAGTTCTATATCAAATGCTCAGGCATTTATAAAAAACAAACTTTGAGGGCAGTTCAGAATGACACATAACATTTTTGCAACTTGTTCTTTGGTATCTTCCCCTGCATTGTATTTCTTCTTTTTGACAATAGTTATGGTCAGAATAGTACATTTCTTTCTAGCACTACCAACACCTGATTGTATCTGATTCCTACTATGTTTACAGACATACCTGCCATATTAGAAAACCTTCACCTTTTGAAAATGCATAAAGTGTACAGTTGAATCAGGTGTAAAAGATTCAGTGGGGAAGGGGTAGAACTAACTTTAATGTCATTAGGGGATGGGAGAATGTAGCCCTTCTTCAAGCTTGAGGAGAATGTAGGGTAGAGGAAAGACTGCCATTTGTCTTTTCCATATGTGACTAAAACCTGTGATGTGGATTTTACTGCTAGACTTTCAGGCTATTTGTAAAAAATGGTATAGCCTGATTTATTTGCTTTAGACAGAAATTGTAACTAGAAATACTTGGAGGAGTTAGGTCATGCTAGGACCAGAATGAAACAGCTTAACTTAAAGCATTTATATATTCTTATGTTGAAATACTGGGACTTGGATGCTATCAGTTCACCCATCTTTCTCTGAAAACCATCATATTTATTAATAAAATAGAAGCTTACACTTGAACCAATATTATGTACTTACTATAAGATACTAAAAAATACTGATTTGTTTTAAGTGTAAATTGACTCCAAATCAGCATGTAGGATCAAAACTTCGTGGAGGTTTTCATAGCTTCTGAATCTTAAAGTGTCCCATGATTAAGATATTAAAGGAATAGGGTACAAATTTCACTTCAAGCCAATTGATGTGGGTCAAGAAGTCATCAAAATAATTTCACTTAGAATGCCTTCCCTACTAGCTGATGATGTGTGTGACAGTGCACAGAAATGAACTAGTTACTCTTTGGGTAGACCTGAAATGAAATATAGTAGATATTGTAAAGCTTCTCCATAAGATTTTTGTGCTATTAATTTCTGTGACAGAACATGTTTTTTTAAAGCAAAAAAAACCAGAAACAAATAGGTGTGTGCTCTATTCTGAAAAGAGAGAAAATAGAAAGCTGTTTTAGTGATTGACTTATTTCATGTGGAAGATTGTAGGCTGGAAAGAGATTGTTGCAAAAATAAGGCAATAACTTGACAGAAGTTGGACAAGACCCCTCCAAATCCCAAACCTTGGTGCATGCTAAAGCTCAGTTTTAGAGTCTTTCTGATATGTACTGGACAGCCAAACCAGCTTGACTACTTGAGAATAAGACAATATGAAAACATATTGTGCATAGGTTTTTTCTTCATACATTTCTTAGGATAACTCTGAAAAGAAGGGATTTTGGCCTTGCAAACTGTATCTTAATGGTTTTTGGAAGAATAATAAAACTCAACTGTTTGCCTTGATGTTGAAGGACTTGCCAGTTGTTTGTATTGTCTTTGTCTGGCTCCAGAATGAAATACCAGTCTGTGTCAAGTGGAGACTGGTTTTGGTGGAAGTTTGTTGAGGCTTCATTTTTATCATGAGCCTTCTCCTTAAAGTGTAGTTTGCAAAATTATTTTCAAACACTTTAATATATCAGATCTACTGCTCAAGACTAGTATATAGCCTTGCAAAGTGCTTTTAGTGAGGCTGAATGGCTTAGAGGAGGTGTCTGCTCCAGGCCACAGAGAAGTTGTAGCAGATTTCTTTTTATTTTATGACCTCTGTGTGTCCTCTTAACACAATTAAATGCAGGAATTTCATGTTGAAGTGCTGTGTTCTGTACTTTCTGTTCTAGTGAGGCTTTTATTCCTTGTCCTTTTTTTTTAACATCCCAAATGTATACCTTAAGAAAGCTATTGCAATAATTATTTACTAAGAAAGCCATTTTAAGATGTACAAGGCAGCCTGGAAAAAGATACATATCTGAAAAGTGGCAAGTAGGAATGCAGAAATGTTTGTGGCCCATTATGCTTTCCTCAGTATGGATTAGAACACTTCAAATATTAGTTTTCCTGAACAGTGACCTTACTGTCTAGAACCAGGTGCCAAGAATCCTGACAGGTTGCTTTTTTAATAAGAAATTGCCTGACTTCACATACTGTGATGCTTCCTAAAGACTTTATTGTGATGAGACAATTTTGGTTAGTGCATAATACATTGTCTTCAAATAATATAGAAAATACTAAAACAACCTTCTATACTCTGTGTAGTGTTATTTAGAGTGATAAGAAGCAAAATCATGGTAGAAGGTCACAGATTAAATACAGATTAAAATTTTAATTTACTGTTAATGAATTTGATTCTAGGATAGTAGAATGCTGGATAAATTCTAGCATGAAGTAGTGCTTGCATCTCAGAGCAGTATTTTGCTGTGATATGTAAAAGACATTCTAAACACAATTTAAAAGGCTGTTATTTTAGGCTGCAGACATAGAAAAGCCTAAGCTCTCCTGCCAAATTTTAGCCAGGTTTCCTAACACATGTAGCAGAATCAAAAATGCTTTCTTTAGTTTTGAACAGAACTCCACCAAGTCAGTATTATGCCATACCCTCCCCTGGCACGCCACTCCATCAGTTAGGATTTAGTTAATATCCTGCTGTTATTTTTATAGAGGTGTCCTGGGGTGACTTTATGATACTGGTATCCCCAGTCGCCTTGTTTATGTTATATATTAAGTTCTGTACCTTTAATATTCTGCACCTTCTGCACCTAGCTTTGGGAGCTAGGGAAGTTGAAACTGCTGGAGGCTGATGGGAGTTTCTTCTCCTGGCCAATTATTGGTCATTTCTGAGAATTGACAGTGGTTTTGACCATCGAAAATTGAGATCAACCTGTGAACATCACCTGAAGATGTAAGCCCAGGAATTTCTTGCTCTCTTTAGTTTCTGGCTTCTGAAGAGGTAACAAGTCCGGCCCCACTTCCAGGCCGGACAAGGCCGCAGAGGGTGAGGGGGGGGAGAAACGGAGCCGGCCGGTTCCTGGCTCTGGTTGCAGTTTCTGCTGCTGAACTGAAACCTGACACCATAAACATCTGCAGCTTGAGCAAGACTTTAACTCTTTTACTACCTGGATGAGACTTGCAGATTAATCCTTTTTTTTCCCAGAGAGAGAGAGGGGAAGAGAGAGAGGGAGTGATCAACATGTAAGACATCAAAGATATGTAAGATCAACATGTAAGATATCAAAGACAGTGGAGAAAGGAATTAAGCTTGAGATGTGGGAGAGAGATAAGGAGATGCTTTAATAAGTTGAAGTATTTTTCTGTTAAAGCCATGGAGATGGACAGTAGTGTTCTGAAAAAACTCCTTTAATTCATGACAGTATTTGGGGGGAAATAAAGTATTTCAAACCGTGAATTTTAAGCAAATAGTGAAGTAGTTGTGATTGATCCTATGAGATGCTGGAACAGAAAAAGAGAAGTAATAGTTGAAGATTTGTGGCCTTTAAGAGACAAAGAGAAAACTTGTTTCCAGGGAAGCTCACAAAAACAGATGAAGAGAACTTTTGCCTTTGAATAACTCATCCTTAAAAATGACATCCCTAAACTCATTGACCCATAACACACTTCAGAGTGATGTGAAATAGGAAGAGAGAACTGATGGCAGGATTTCCGGGCAGCTGGCATCAGAGAACTATAAAGCCATGAAGAAAATGGTTTTCTTGTGAAAAACTCCA